CTCGATGAGCCCTAGCAGCGGTGCGCCAGCGGTACACTGGGGAACAGTGAGGTGACGATGGTTCCCACTTTATGGGTGGCGGCGCCGGGGGCCCTGTACTGCAGGGCGCCTGCCACTCCCAGGAAATTGATGCCCTAGGGTGGTTGTGGGCGGGTAATTCAAAACGGCCGAGCTGCTGAGCACAGATGGCCACAGACGTCGGGCAATGAGGAACATGCACATTCGTGTTGGCACACGGGGGCGTATCCCCGACCAGGCCTAGTACAACCTGCTGGATTAAAGAGTGGAGATCGTGGGCCGACTTGGGAATTCCAGATGCATCTCCCACTCCTTTTAATATTATAACGGCCGAGTGGCGCCAGCGTCGGGAAGTGCGATTCCGCTCGAGGCTTTTTCAACACAGATGTCAGATCGCCTTCCAGGGCGATCTGCAAGTTGGCCATGGCATCTGAAAGTGGCGATTTCGCGCGGGATTTCCTCGATTAAAAATGTCAGATCGATCTTCATGCCGCTTGAAAGTGGCGATATCGCCTAAGAAGTCCTCACAGGGTATTTCCCGGCCGCTTTTCACGCCGCCAGAGAGTGGCGACTTCGTTTGGACTGTCCTAACACACGCGCGTCTCTTCCACCCTTGCGTCGCCATTTCTCCGCTCGGGTCACGAGTCTGTTTGGGAGTCATCTTGGGATCGATCGAAGGTCGAAGCTTGAGGTTTCATCGATTGGCGAAGACCCAGGTGTTGTTCCCTCGCAGAGTGCCGATCACATTTTTTAAAAATCCAGGCGGTGGTAGCGGTGCGATGGCCGAAAAAACAGGGAGAGTGAAGTGACGATGGTTCCCATTTACGGACGACGGTGCCGGGGCCTTGTGCGCAGGGCGCCTGCCACTCCCAGGAACTTGATGCCCCTCTCTGCGATGGGAATGACCCATCCATAACGACCGATCGGGGGGGGGAGGTGGGGGCCTGGAGGGGACAAGGGGGCCGGCCCCCCCCCCCCCCCCCCAGACACTGCTCGCGTCGGGGTGCCCGACCGCCTCATCACCTCGCTCTTACTTCCCAGTTGTTTCGCGACACCTCCACCAGCGAACGCCGCTCTCACGCGCGCGGAGGCCGAGAAGCGCGGCCCCGAAACCCTGCCCAGCCCCAGTAGGATCCTTCGCGATTGAGGCCCCCCTCCCTCCCAGACCAATGCTCCCGCCCGCGGCGGAACGGAGAGGGCGCAGCGGGGCCCCCCCACCGTGGCGGAACCCACAGGACGGCGGAGTTCGGGACCGCCGTGAAGAGTCGCGGGCGGGCAGGCGGCGCAAGGGCCTTTCCCCGGCCCCTAGGGGCCCCGCTCCCCCCAAGGGCTGCTCGCGCAGCGACTGGCTGCGAAACACGCGACGGCCCTGCTGTCCTGGCCGTGGCCCTGCCCGTTTTCAATGGGGCCTCTCCTCTCCGCGGGGGCACGCCTCCCCGTCGAGCGTCCTCCCCCCGCCCGCGGCTGGATGGGGGGCGCGCGCGAACGGGTGGGCGCCTCCGCACCGGGAGAGCGCCCGCCAGTAGTCGACGGGGGCTCGGGGCCGTCTCGGAGATGCGCGGGCGGGCGCAAGTGGAGGCCCCGTGCTGGGGTCGCGCGGCGATCCAACAATCTCAACCGCGCGTGGCAGACCGAAGAAACGGGGCCAGCGCGGCCTCGAATCCTCACAGGGCCAATTCCCTCGCGCGGGCGCGCCCCCCCGTCGAGGGCCCGCAATCGGGCGGGCGCCGTCGAGGTAAGGGCGGGGCCCATCAGTCGACGGGGGCTAGGGGCCGCCCCACGGGCGCGCCCCCCCTTCTCTGGGCCCCCGCCGGGTTGAGAGACGAAGTGCGAAAGATTTTCTCCTATGCAGCTGCGCGCGGCCTGCCTGCTCTGGAGCATGAGGCGACCGCTGCGCCCGGCGCGCTCCGGGCCCCGCGGCGGCCGCCTCGCGCGCCCCCCCGCCGGCGACGCCCCTGACCCGAAGGGTCGCGCGGAGCCCCGCCCGCGAAGGCAAGCACTTGCGCTGCGCCTCCTCAGCCTCGTGGCCAGCTGGCGCCGCGGCGCGCCGCGCCGCCACCGCGCGGTGGCCCACTGCCCAGGCTGCCCGGCGGACATTCTCTCTGCGCGATGGCGGCGCCCCACCCCGGCCCGCCGTCTGAGGCGCCGTCGCCCAGGAGCCTCGTCAGACCCCGCCGACCTTCCGGTCAGACCTTGCTGTTGAGCTCGATCAGGCCCTCTCCGGTTTCTCTCCGGCGTTCGCGCGCTCGCCCCCGCGGCCTCGAGAGCCGCCCCTTCTCCCTGCCCGTTTTGGCCGTCTGCAGGTTGCCCTTGGAGTTCGACATATCAAAACACGGGAGCAGGCAATCGGTCATCTTGTCGCGATTCACATCGCTCAGCATGGCACAGCCCTCGGGCGGGCGGGAGGCGAACGTGTCCTGGGAGAGACGCGCGCCCTCGCGACAGGGGCGCATCTGTAAGTCCCTGGGCACGTTCGCGGGGGCGCTTTTCTCCGAGAGCGTGGACGCATGTTTGACAAGCTTTCTGTAGGCCTCCTCGCCACTGGAGTCGACGGTGCTCACGACCGCGCCGAGCTCCTTCACCTACGCACTATCTGCCTTGATCTCCTCACCTCTCGCGGCGATGATGGTGGACTCCAGCGCGGCCGCCAACAGGGCCGTCAGGGTGCCTTCCTGCTCTGGGGCTCCGTGGCCGAAGTAGACCATGTCAGCTTGATCCTCCGGCCTGTGCCCCTGGGACTGTTTGGCGCGGTTTTCGCACGCGTCTGCGCCCTTCTCCGCCCGCCTGCGGCCGCACCTCTCGTTCACGCACCTTCAATGGCCTCTGGCGCTGGCGCCCCCTGGCTCGTTCAGCTGCGTCGGCCCCGCGCACCGCGCTCACTTCTTCGGCTTGGGGGGGGCGCCTTGGAGCGCGGGCACACATGCATGATTTGCTTGTCTCCGCAGAAGGCAAGCGCGAAGCACACTGCGGCCCCCAAAGACTCGTAATTCAGGATGGCCTCTTGGACTTTCGCCAACTGGACCTTCGGCGCCACTGGAGCGTCCTTGTGCTTCGCCAGCTCCGCTTCCATGGCTATCTCGATCGTCTTAGTCTGCTGCGACGGCGACTCCTTCTTCTGCGTGTTCCTCAGGTTGAACCATCCAGCCTTCAAGCTCTCGATCGCTGGCCTGATTCAGAAATTCGCATCACCGTGCTGCTTGCTCCCTTGGCACCTGGGCGCAAGGGGTCCGATATTGTGTGGATGCGCGTCCTTGGGCACTCGCCGCCCATGGCCTTTGCCGCGTGCTCATGTGGTACGACCGAACGGATCCTCTGGAAGCATGGCGACTCACTGTCTCCTGGGGCCAAGACGAAGAACGAGGCGAAACCGTGCTTGTCCGCGCAGAAGTGACATGTGACCGCGCTGGTCGCGGCAGCGTGGCCACCAGCGCACTTGCGCGCGCCGCCGGCCTCTTTGATCCAGGGCGTCAGCCTCCTTTTGGCCGTGGTCCCTGTGGCCACGTGCCCCCCCTTCGGACCTCCTGCCTGTCTGTCCCCCTCGCCCGCCTCCGAGCCCGGAGAGAAGGACTCTGCCGGCATGGCGACCTGGCTCCCGCCCTGGAGGGTCCCACGGGGCGCTGCCTCTCCCTCTCGCCGCCCCTCCGCGGTCCTCCCCCCGGACCACCTTGAAGGGGCCCTGGGACGCACAGAGAAACACGCACAGATAAAAAGATTCCCCATATTTTCCCATGTTTTCTGGGTTTTTGTCTTCCCCCCCACTTCCCATATGTTCCCATATTTTCTGGGAATCGACGAATCATTGTGTCTGTGTGCTTTTTCCCCTCCTGACACCTCTGCCTGCCTCCCTACGCGCTGGCGTGGCAGGCGCCACGGAGGATGCTCTCCTCGAGTCCGCCGCAGCGCGGCGTCGATGGCGCAGGCCCAACAAGGGCCAACTTCAGCGCCCAACCGCCACCCACAAAAGGCCAAGCGCCTCAGCCCACACAGACGCCGGGCAAGGTGAAGGATCGGCATTCGTGTTGGCACACGGGGGCTCATGAGAAAGAGGGGAATCGAGAGAGAGAGAGAGAGAGAAATAGAAAGAGAGCGGGAGAGAGAGAGAGAGAGAGAGAGCAAAACAAAAAAGATCAAGAAAGACACCGAACAACAAACAAGACGCTTCCCAGGCGTGCGGCGGCTCGAAATGGCCGAGACCAGAGCTTCTTTCTCTGAATTGGGGGCCTTCGGCGGGGGCCGTTTCGGGCCAGAAGGCCGCCGGCAAAAAACGAGTCGGGATGCGAGCCCAGCCCCCGAGAAGGGATTCGAGAGGGCTGAGGGCCCACGCCTGGAGGAACTCCAGGCGTCGAATGTCTGGGACTCCTGATCCGCAAAGAGGCGACTGCTCCCGTCAGGACGGCTTCCGCGCTGGCGTCCGAGACGGCCCGCGCGCAGCAAATGGGCATCCTGGGCACCCCGGCTGGAATGCAAGCGCCAGCACCCCGGCCGGAATGCAAGATGATCGGCGTCGAAGGCCGTGGCTGCTCCTGGAGGGGCAACGCGGGAGGGAAGCAGCTCAGGGGGGGGAAAATCGAGCTGGAACCGGCGATACATCGCCGATGCATCGGCGATACGTCCCCGATAGCGGATCCGCACGTCCCTGGCCGGAGTGGGCCTATCGGGCCCCTATCGGCGATGCATGCGCCATTGGAGGTCGGCGCATCCCCCCTAAGCCTACCCCCCCCTGACGTGGCCCATGGCTCCTTCTAGCAAGATTCGCATGTCTCTCGTTCTCTTTTGTTTGCTCTCTCTCTCTCTCTCTCTCTCTCTATCCCTCTCTTGTTTCTATCTCGCTGTTTGTGTGTGTTCTCTCTCGTTTTTGTTATCTCGTTGCTTGTTCTTTCTCGTTTGTTGTCTTCCCTCGTTCTTTGTTCCCTCTTGTTCTTTGTTGTCATCTCGTGGTTTGGTTGTTCTGTCTCCTTGATGTTGTTGTTCTCTCTCTCTCTCTCCCTCTCTCGTTCTCTCTAGCTGAGATGCGGAAGTCACAGGCGAACGCTGCGAGCACGACCAGCCAAGGCCTCGACGCCGCAGCCAGAACTGCTGGCAGCCTGGCGGCTGGATTCGGCTGCACGATCAGCAGGGCACGCGGCAACCGCGCGGGCGGGCGGGCCGATTGAGAACGACGCCGCGCAAAGCCAGACTGCCAAAACGCTCGCAGGGGGGAGCGAACGTCCTGCGACGGTGGGAACAGCGCATGCTGGTCACAAACATGCCGGTGAGACGGGGAAACCCCGAGAGGCACCCATACAGTCATCCACACGGCCCTTCTGGGCAGATCGCGATCGCACCGGCTGCTTGGATGCGGCTGGAGGGTCGAGAAAGTCTCTCGAGAAGGGGTGATACGGGCAACTCCACTCAAGAAGGGGTGATAAGGGCCATTATTAATATTATTATTATTATTACTATTATTACTAGTATTATTATTATTATCATTATTAGTAGTAGTAGTAGTCGTAGTAGTAGGCGTAGTAGACGTAGTAGTAGTAGTAGTAGTAGTAGTAGTAGTAGTAGTAGTAGTAGTAGTAGTAGTTAGTAGTTAGTAGTTAGTAGTTAGTAGTTAGTAGTTAGTAGTAGTTAGTAGTAGTAGTAGTAGTAGTAGTAGTAGTAGTAGTAGTAGTAGTAGTAGTAGTAGTAGTAGTAGTAGTAGTAGTAGTAGTAGTAGTAGTAGTAGTAGTAGTAGTAGTAGTAGTAGTAGTAGTAGTAGTAGTAGTAGTAGTAGTAGTAGTAGTAGTAGTAGTAGTAGTAGTAGTAGTAGTAGTAGTAGTAGTAGTAGTAGTAGTAGTAGTAGTAGTAGTAGTAGTAGTAGTAGTAGTAGTAGTAGTAGTAGTAGTAGTAGTAGTAGTAGTAGTAGTAGTAGTAGTAGTAGTAGTAGTAGTAGTAGTAGTAGTAGTAGTAGTAGTAGTAGTAGTAGTAGTAGTAGTAGTAGTAGTAGTAGTAGTAGTAGTAGTAGTAGTAGTAGTAGTAGTAGTACTACTACTACTCCCTTCAAGGATCATCTGGTGCAAATGTTCACCCCCGATCCGTTCTCGATGGCCCCGGGGGCCCCGAGAAGCGGGCGCCCCGGAGCACGGAAACGGCCAGCAAACTTCTCGACCGCAGAACCTCGAGCCCTTACCATCCTCGAACGTATTGGGCGCCCGAGTTATCCGGGATAACTCGGGTCCGGGGTAACTCGGGCTTGGATTCCCGAAAAAAGGAACCCGAGTTACCCCTGACCCGAGGTACCCCTGATGATTCGGGGCTCTGGACGCCCGAATTATCCGGGGTATCTCGGGTCCGGGGTAAGTCGGGTTCGGATTCCCGAAAAACGAACCCGAGTTAGCCCTGACCCGAGTTACCCCTGATGATTCGGGGCTCTGAACGTATCCCTATCCCTAAGATCGACACGCCAAAAGGCGACGACAATCTTGGGGATGCACCCTCAGAAAACAAGGGAATCCCCGAGATTGGCACCGTGATGAGGAGGTGCCCAGCATAGGGGTAGGGACATGTTCCAGGCTGCTAAAACCCGCCCCCCCGCCCTGCTGGCTGGAACCCGTGCTGGGCCACCCCGGACTCCTCCCTGCCGGCCTCCAACAGGCCACAGGCCTCGGCGGCCACGGGCCAGAGAGCCGCCGCCCAGCGCGGCACGGCTCGCGGCGGCACCGGGAGCCGCCCGTGGAGAGGCCCAGGCGGCGTCAGGCGCTCCAGCCATCCTCGCCGCGGCCCCCGAGGAGCAGCAGCAGGAGCCTCGCGTGGGGGTGGCCCAGGTCGATGAAGGTCGGGCCTCTGGCGGAAGCTCCTGCTGATGATGATGATGATGATGATGATGCTGACGATGATGATGATGATGGTGATGATGATGGTGATGATGATGGTGATGATGATGATGAGGATGAGGATGAGGATACTGATGATGATGCTGATGATGACGATTATGATGAGGATGCTGATGCTGATGATAATGATGATGCTGATGGCGTTGGTAGTGATGATGAGGCTGACAATATTGGTGTTGATGGTGTTGATGGTAATGACGAGGCTGATGGTCCTGGTGATGGTGGTGATGATGTGTTGATGATGCTGAAAAAGATGATGATGCGCTGATGATGGTGTTGATGGTGGTGATATCGGCGCTGATGACGATAATGATGCTGATGATGATGCTGATGTTGTTGATGCTAATGTCATTGATGCAAATGCTGACGTTCGTGCTAAAGAAGATGATGGATGATGATAACGATTATGATAACGACGATGATTTGGTCATGATGCTGCTGCTGCTGCTGCTGCTGATGATGATCGGTGAATGTGGCTGGCGCTCCTGCTCTGTCCACCTCTGCCTCCGACTCCAGCGAGGAGCTGCCGCTCGAGGAACCGCCGTCCGACGCCACCTCGTCGCTGCTGCTTCCCCACGTCCAGGGCCGCGTCAGGCATCTCCCTGGAGGAAACAGCAGCTGCACAAACATGCGGCAAAAAACTTGCTTGCAGCGTGTCGCAGCGGCGGCCACGGCGACACGCTATGCCTGGCGAGCGCATGGCGTGTCGTTCCGCTCCGCCGGCCGGGAGGCTTCGAAAGACTCGGAACGTTGTCTCCTGGGGAGCAGGGCGTGGACAGCGTGTCGCGCCGAAAAGTGGTGGGCCAGAACTGGCGGACCGTCACGCAAAGCAACATATTCCGACCGTAACCTTTCTAAGGAGCTCCGAACGGTTGCTTATGCCGTCCCTTGTTCTTATTATTATTCCTATTATTCTTCTGACTCTTGGTATTATTATTGTTGTTCTGAATCGTATGTGATGGTGTGTTATTGCTACAATTCGTAGTCTCAGTGTTTTCGTTACGACTAGTATAAGTATTGCTTGTATTATTGATAGCATTATAGATATTGTGATTACTAATACTAATCGTACTATTACGGCTAGTATCACCATTAGTGTCATTACTACTGATAGGGTCATTAGTATTAGCATTGCTGTTCTTATTACTAGTACTAATATTATGCTTATTATGATAATTGTTCTCCCAGCCATGCCTCCACACATGGTCCGCGAACCGCCAGGCAGCAGCCACGGGTCTGCGGGCGTGGGAATCTTCGGCCACGCCGCCTCCGCGCCGCTCAGGCCCTCAGGGAATTCTCCTCCGAGCTCCGTCGAGGGAGACGACGGCCTGCAGCCGACGGGCGCCAGGAGCACGGGGGTGCCGCACCTGAGCGACAACAGAAAGGACGGGGCCTTGCACGAGACCGCACGGCGACCTCGTGCGGGGGTGGCCTGCGCGGACCGCCAGCGCGACACGCCACAGTGGGCACGAGGGCGCTCACGTGCGGCCGTATGCGGGCAGCTTGCGCCTCTCGATGTCGGTGAGAACGGCCCCGTTTCGATCCGTCGCTCACGTGTCCCAGGGGTGGCCGCCCGCCTCGAGGCTGGCATCGGCCGACTGCGGCTCGAGTGGAGATCCCGGGCCCTCCATCGGGCCAGCCCGCGGGGAGTGCTGCTGGCGCGGCGCAGGGGCTGGACGCCTGCAGCGCATATATGCGCGGTTCGAGCCAGGGTGGCCATGAGCAGAAGCAGCAGCACCAGCAGCAGCAGCAGCAGCAGCAACAGGAAAAAAGACGGAGGAAGTTATACTCCGCGGCGCCTCCTGGAACTGGGCCAGGAACAAAATTTAAAAGGGAGGGGGGCAAGAAACGGGGAGGATACGTTCCTCCGAGGAACGTATCCTCCCCGTTTCGTGCCCCCCCTCCCGTTCAACCCCCTCCCTTCCAGGCGGCCCGGCGCCTCGGACGGACCTCTGGGAGCACCAGAAATGTGCCCGGCCCTCTCCCGGGTGCGCTTTGAACCGGACTTCGAGGCGAATCCACCCGTGGCGACGGGGGCCTCCTCGAAGGCCCAGAATGGGGACGACGAGGCCTGGGTAGCGGTCGCCTGGGACCTCTGCAGGGTCTGCGTGGGCCTGCTCATGGGCCCCCGAAGCCCTGCAGGTAGGGCGTCCTCCCGTCTCCACGGTTCCGGCGTGTATCTGGCAAGGGCGCTGTCGCCACGCGCGGCGCACGAATTGAGACGTACGGGGCACTCCAGCAAACGCCTCGCCTTCGGCGACGATTACCCTCGATGCAAGCGGACATCCTCTCCACTTTCTGAAAATATGGTAGAAGCCTTTTTTCACGACAAAGCAAAACAAAACACAGTTGCGGATAAGAGTGAGGGGGCGACAAAGACGTCGTCAGTCTGCGAAGCTCTGAACAAGCCCGCTGCAGGCAGTGACTCCACCGCAGGCCCCGATCTTTTCGTTAAAGCAATGTGGGTGGATCGCGGGGTGGGTCGCGGGTGTGTCGCGGGTGGGTCGCGGGCCGGGTCGCGGGTGGGTCGCGTGTGGGTCGCGTATGGTTCGCGGGTGGGTCACGGGTGGGTCGCGGGGTGGGTCGCGAGTGAGTCGCGGGTGGGTCGCGGGGTGGGTCACGGGCTGGGTCGCGGGGTGGGTCGCGGGGTGGGTCGCAAGGTGGGTCGCGGGTGGGTCGCGGGGTGGGTCGCGGGGTGGGCCGCGGATGGGCCGCGGGCGGGTCACGGAGTAGGTCGCTGGTGGGTCGCGGTTGGGTCGCGGGGTGGGTCGCTGGGTGGGTCGCGGGGTGGGTCGCGGGGTGAGTCGCTGGGTGGGTCGCTGGTGGGTCGCGGGGTGGGTCGCAGGGGGGACCACGACGACAGCAACAACAAGCCTGATCCTCACCACGGATTCCCTTTTCAGCCACGCACCCAGGGACAATGAATGACCGTTCGGCCCCCTCACTCTGATTTGAGCTAAGCGGCGTCGGTCGACGAGCACTCACCCCTGTAGAAAATCAGTTCCCTGCAAAGAAAAGAAGAACTACACAATTGAAGCATGACCTGCTCGCCCAGACGCAACGCCATAACTTTACGCCCCCCTTTCGGCTGATAAGCAAAGTGTGGAGACGGGTGGAATATAAAATCGAAAGCGACTGGATATGATGAGAACTCTAGGCCAGTATACGGCGCATCAGTACCAGGACTCCATTTTAGCATGTCCAGACGTGCACCGAAAGCAGATGATGGCCGAACTGGTGCAAGCAGAAGGCAACTATGCTGAGGGCGTGAACGTGCGGGGTCTTCCCAACACGCGATACACTGTTTCTCAGAGTCGCAGGGCACCACGCAAGACAAAAATATGATTACCTTCTGCTATGTCAAAATAAGACCACGCAATCGAACACAAAAATCTCGACTGATCCTGAGCGCAAGATTCCGGCATTGCGGCACGCGATGGCAAATCTGATATGTTTGTATGTATGTTGGTGTAAATATAGACATGTGTGTAACAAACATGTCGTGGTGGGTGCCAGTTCATGCACAGCGTCAATAATTTCTCATGTGTTACCGAAGCTGGCGGACTTCGATACGTTGTACCTTTCCCAGTCCGTGCGCTCTCGCAATGGCAACGGTTGCACCCGCATCGCTCTATAATGATATACCACACTTACCGTCGAAGTCCTGGAGGACCACTTGCAGTCCTAACATCACTGAGGCGCCTTTAACCATTCCGTAATATACCGCTTCACTAGCAAACAGTGCTACACGCTCTGAGTATAACTCCACTGCTTTCTGAGATGTGATCCCCACTTCACGGTGCCTCCGCTGGCCGATTTCCGCGTTTTCCTGCAACCTGCGCGGTCGGTATCGATCCACACAGTTTGCTCCCTAGGGTGCTCTTGATACAGATACTAATATCCACACCTCTCGTGGTTCTTGAAGTACTTCACCCATGTCGCACGACTGTTCTATGCACCTCTGGCAGGGGCTGGTATAGAACGCGCAAGTTCTTTGATTACGAACTACATCTCGGAGCGGTCCAGTTCGACGTAATTTGCCCTAGCCACTAGAGCTCTGAATTTCTTAACCTCATGGTTCCTCGGCAGGGGCTCCTGGTCGTCTTCTTCGCGGGCCTGCTTTGCGCCTGGCATCACACAACTTACTATGTACTGCTCCAGGTCAAACTATATAACAACTATCTCAGCATGCCTCTACCACCCTCGGACCGCAAACCCTCCCGGCTCCACTCCGCAACTCGGTTCAGAAACCTGATCGCCATCAAACCTTTTGGCCCTTGCCCGAGCCTTCCCGCATTCGAACTTCAACTTAAAGCGAATGCGTCCACGTGCACTGTGAGCCAGGCCCGCCTTGTCCTATGTTTAAACGCGCATGGCGATGCGTCCCCGTTGTCAGACCCACTATCACATGCAAATCCATGCAAACATCCTCGCAGTGGCTGTCGGCGCCCCGAGTGCCGCACATGGACTTCAGTAGTCTTCCAGACACACCCACCTCACGATTATCCACGGGCAACCTGCTGAACATTTCCTTTCTGGCCTTAGTGCAGAGGCATTTACGCTTAACGTCTGTAAGCGCCAGCTGTAGCCCTTCTCACGCACCCAACGATTATGCCCAAACCCCTCGGTAACAGCCGCAGAGACTAGCAACTGCTGGGTTCCTACTGAAGGAGCGGGTGATAAGATCTTCTTTTCTTCGGACTTGTACTTAACTTGCTGGGCCACCAGCCGGGGTCGGTACTCAGGATTGGCCTCGCGTCCAATGCTGATGCCCTATACTTTCTCGTAGACCTCGTGTTTCCTAAGTCGACCCACCCCGTCCTCACGAGGATTCACCATGAGTTCTGGATCAAACTCACTTCCTGACGTTGGCTGCGCGTCACTAGCGCTCCCACTTGCCTCGCACGCCCCTGGAACTTTCAACCGCCCCTAGTGTTGGCGCGCCCCGCGGATCCATTGGTGAGGCTGGACGTCCCGGGTAACCCGGTAGGTAAATTTAGTGGCGACGTTGCGCGCTCCTCCCCTAAATTATCTCCTCCGCTGCTTTTCCTTCAATATCTCTAAGCCCCTGTCCTGGAGTACCTGGCCGGCGTTCAAATCCTGTGCAAGTCTGCGCAGGCATGCACCCCATGTTGGTCCTGAGCTTCCTGGAAGCATGAGGCGAGATGTGGCCTTACCTTGTGTGCTCCAGGTTCACGCAGGCACATCTCAACATCCATTCGGTTCGTGCCCTGTCTGATTACTCCCAACCCTCCTGTGGTGTTGGGTACGCGTTCTGGATAGAGAGGTGTGGTCTCCACCTCCTCCTCCTCCTCTCCTCCTCTCCTCCGTCTCTCCTGTCTCCTGTGTTCCCTTCTCCTCTTCTCTCGTGCCGTCTGCGATCTGCGCAACTGTCGCCACTTTCGTGAGCTGCTGGGAGGCCCAGCGGAGGTACGTTCCACGCGGATCACCTCGGTACCTCGCCGCCCCCTGGGGGGCTTGCGATCTGCGCAACTGTGGCCACTTTCGTGGGCTCCTGGGAGGCCCAGCGGAGGTACGTCCCACGCGGATCACCTCGGTACCTCGCCGCCCCCTGGGGGGCTTGCAATCTGCGCAACTGTCGCCACTGTCGTGGGCTCCTGGAGGCCCAGCGGAGGTACGTCCCACGCCGATCACCTCGGTACCTCGCCGCCCCCTGGGGGGCTTGCGATCTGCGCAACCGTCGCCACGTTCGTGGGCTCCTGGGAGGCCCAGCCGAGGTAACTCCCACGCGGTGACTGGGTGCTCCTGCTTATCCTCGAGGCCGCGACCTTTCGCTTCCACGTTTGGGTTCATTTCCTTGGGTTCGCTGCCGCGCCCTTTTGTTTGCACTTTTGGGTGAGTCTCCGCCCCCACTATGCACCTCATGCATGTGCCTCTTTCAGCGCAGCGCGCTGCTGAGTTAAACCGATGTTCTGGTTTAGCCCTCGCCGCCCCCCGCTTTTGTGTTTCTTTCAACGCCCTTGTGCTTCCATGTTGTATGTTTGCTGTTCCTCTTCTTGATGCTCTCTTCTGATTTCACTTCTGAGTGCTCTTCTTGCGCACTGCGGGTCCTTCAGAATGCCAGTCAGCATTAAGTGGTCCTGAATATAAACGCCACGTGTATAAAAGGGTTGGGTACGTCGCAGGGTAATTTTACAGTCGTTCGTCTGGTTCGCTCCAATCGAGAACACAGGTTCTGAAGGAGACCCCCAATCGATCTTCGGCCGTCATCTGGTGAACTGTGCCTTCAAGTACAGCTCGACAAAGTCGGTCCGGATATACCTCTGATCTCCTCGTTCTGCCTCCTGTGCTTGACTCGATAAGCCAATACTGACATTGACATTCCGCACTGGGGGCCCTTCCGATGCAACGGGCTGTTGGTCATGAACCAAATGGGTTTCTTCGCAGGGATATCCTCCCCGTTCACGCCTGCATGAAGTCATGGCAGCACCCATCGCCTTCATGTGTTCGCACACTTTCACGCTTAACATGCCTCTGCGCTGACGACGCGGTCCAGCTTGAGGCTCCCGCGAGGTGTTCGAGGAAAACATGTAACCCATTGTTCCTCTGAGTCGAACGCACTTCCAACGCGAACGTGAGATGCTTGACCACGCAATATGAGATGCCCCTCATCTTGTCCGGCCCCAGGCGTCTCGAGTTGAATGCATGTGACCTGCTGAAGGCTGCACGCAGCGGATCTGCGATTCGCAATTCGCAATGAGG